AGCCTCAAACTGGCTGGAACCGGGTGTAGTCGGTCATAACCGGAACATGTCGGTCCACCTATAAGAATAGCATATCCAATCCAGGCTCTGGGCGTCTTGTCAATCGAACTCATTGTTTGTTTGTCCCCTTGGAGGGCTCGAGTGACAAACGCTCGAAATTTATCAACCACTAAATCTGTCTTCAGTTCCCTTCCCCGTGCAGCGTCCAATAACGCCTTCGTGGGAGGTTGGAACCGACAAACATGTCCAACAAAAAAGCATGATCAGCAATCTCCAGCCTTGTAGGTGATGGTAAAAGCTTCGGGCAGATCGCGTTATATTGAGTCACGCTGCGTTGGCAATCGGGGATGTGCGCATGATTGGAGACTAGCTTGACGAGTAACGTGCCAGGCATTGCGGTCCGTCTCGGCATATCCTGGTGTGAGCCGAGCATTACTGATACATCGGTGAATGTTTGATAAATCATCAAATGTACCTCAGAAAACCAGTGATGGTGACTTACGTAGTTCATAGCAAATGGAAATGGTTGGCTATGCTTCTCTCATCAGCCATCGTATTACCTACGGAATGCATCTGGCGAAATGCATTACCAAGCACGCCCAGTGTGCCCAGCGCCCCCGGTGAGGCGTGAGGCGTCGCCCCGGGCGCACATGACTGCCCGGTACACACTCTGTTTGCCGAACACACCCTGTTTGTCTGGGGTGTGAATCACGTCAGCCAGCGGTGCAGCGTCACCGCTCTTCCTCGGATAGATAGCAGCTGATTTCCCCGACCGCCGCCGACCGGCCACTGAGCAGGGGTAGAGGGCTTCTTACCGGAGGGGCGCCATCAGCTGTGGCACCGGTGGCTGTGGGTCCACAGACGGCTTCCGTCCGTCTCACATGGAATTATCGCGATGGTGAAAGGGATACTATGGGGGATTCTTTTGCTCTCTTTGTGACGTCTCTTTTATGACCAGCTGGCAGCTGAAGAGAAAGAATGAATTCTAAGAAAATGAAACATGTCACAGTGACAAGCATTTTAGGAAAATAAAACGTGGGGAAGTCTTTGACCTGATATGACTTATCCGATCGAAAAAAAAAAACGCATGTAAGGCTTCTTTACATGAAGGCTGTATGTATTTGTGCACAAATGTTTCCAAAATTCGTGGTTTTAGTTTAGGTAATCTGCCGGCCGACAGTTCGGTTGTTAGTGGAGAGTGGGCGGTGCCAGACGAATTGTTGGCAGAAAGGCATGCAGCCTTCGTTCCAACCACGCGCGGACGTTGCAGACATTGTTCGGTGGCGCCATTTTGTCTCTCCTCCCTTTTCGGGCGTGGCGACGTCGGCGTCCGTCCGTCACTTATCTGCACTATCACGCTGCAGCCTACCGCGCGGTAGGTATTTCCGGCAGCACTCGACAGAAAACCCGCTCAGCTGGCGGCCGGCCGTTGGCGGGCGCCCTGTCCCGCCCGCGAACCCCCGTCCTGTCCCTCATCGGGCGACGGGCGCCGCCGTCCTGTTCCCTCCCTGACACACCTGGCGTGTCCCGCGTCTTCTTTCTGCAGCTTGGACTGCAGCACGAGGGATGTGGGACGCGGGAGCTGCTGGTCTGAGCGACACGAGGGATGTGGGACGCGGGAGCCGCTGCTCGCTGTCGGCCGCGCCGCTTTGTTTGTTTGATTCGAATGCAAATGTGCCAGGTGGAGTGTGAAAATGACGCCGAGTTGCCGGAGGCGCCGGAGGGAGCGTGTCGCGCCCCCCGTGACGGGGGACGGCGGACTGGTGTGTTAAACGCAGTTCACACATGACCGTCAGTCTGTCGGTGTCGGGCCCGCCACCGTCGACCTGACGGCCTGCAGCCCGTCAAACGAAAGTTGGGATTTGGTAGCTCCCATTGGCTGCCATATGTTGTGACAGAAATGGCGCATCATTTTCGAGATTGACGCAGACGGGAGAAGGGGATGGGGGGACGGTAGAGGCCGAGAGGTTAAAAATATTCTTTAAATTGCAGAAATAAAATACCACGCAATTACATTTTTATGTCAAATAATGCTGCAATTTTATTTAAATGAAAGACACATCGGTTCGCTTATTTAAATCAGGGATCGAATCTCAAGATATCGTGCCGTAATAAACACTTTCATCCCAGCAAATGGATGGAAAATGGTATAAATGATCTCAAAAATGCACATAAGCTTCATGCTGCATGAGAAGGTTCCTTTTCCTCTTCCTCCAACACGCAGACAGTCAAACCGACGGGCCCGTCACCGTCAAAAGTTGAACATTGCTGAACTTTCCAAAGCGACGGCCGTCAGGTCCGGCGCCGGCGCAGTCAGCTGTTGCCGGCCGTCAAACGCTGCCGGTTCACCCATGCCCGTCGACCTGACGGCCGTCACTCCGTCGGTTTCGGCCGTTTTGACGGTGTCGGGCCCGTCACCGGCAGACCTTACGGGCAAGTGTGAACTGCGTTTTAGGCGCACAGTTCCAGCAGAGCCCGTGGTCCGCGTCCTGCCCGGTCCGCAGTTCTCAGTTCTCCCCACCTTACCGCTGCACAGCACCGGCACCTCGCGAGCAGGACTACGGTGACGTGGCAGCGCCTCCCCCTGCCTAACCTCTCCCTGCGTCCCTGTCACATGTGGACGACGCCATGGTCGCTGGCGATGCCCTGGGAGGACAGGTCTGCTTAGTGTCATCGGCGGACACGTTTGTGTGCACGAGCCCCCGCCTCACCCCCCCCCCCCCCCCACTTCCTGCCCCCGCTCAGGACCACGTCCTGTTTGACGTGGTAGGTATACCTATGCTGGCTGAAGTTTGGGCCGCTCCAAGAATTTTCACTTTTCCTCTGATGTTATGCAGCTTTTACTTTCTGCTTGGACTTTTACATTCGTTATTATTTTGATACGCGATGGCCCGGTGTCTCGATGCTTTGTAAGTTCTCCGTACCGAGACTTGGCGGTGGGCCGAGTCTCCACGGTTCTGTGAGCCGTCCATTGTCCTCGCGGGGAACGGAGCGGCTCCCAGGCGACCGCTCACCGCGTTCTCCCCGATCGCATCTGGCTGTTTGAAAAGTTGACGTCGGTCGGTCCGGCGACAGGACGCTGGGACACTTACGCTGGAACATCATTGTCTTCGAGGCGGCCCGTGAGACTGGGTACGAATTTCATACGATTTCGAATGTGATCCGGAGAAAGGACTCCTCAATCACAGGGTGCAGTGGTCCCCGATGGGGTGCGTTTTGTGTGTGGTCCGCGGTGCCCGGCCGGCCGGCGCAAATTGCCGCCGTCGGCCGCCGGTCCCGCCCAGCCTGTCCCACGACCGCCCGTCGCGACGGGCGGTTTCACTTCACGGCCGACCGTGCCCCGGCGGCCCAGAACGACGGCCAGCCCGGACCCTGCTCATTTCCCCATTAGATAGGCCAGCCGGGCGAATGGTGGGGGCCGGTGTCGTCGGCTCAATGTCGTCCCCCTCCGGGTGTAGAGGTCCCTTTCAGAGTACAGGACTCCGGGGCCCGCCACGGACGATCTGAACTCTGAGTGCCTCTGTCATATAGCAATTTGAGTTAGATGCTCAATGACTTTAATTTGTTTCAGACTGAGTTTTGGCACATCACGTCACAGATAATGGTGTTACGCTTTGCTCGAAATGTTCCAAATTCCAAGTTATGTTTATGGAATCATATTTTGTGTGGGCTTCCCTATTTAAAGGTAGTGTGCCAGCTTTCCTGGACCGTATGGAGTTAATGGCCCAGATAAGGAGAACCGGATTTTTAGAACTTATCCATACCTTCAAAACTCATGGAAATGTCTTAAATTCTTCAAATTTTGAGTACCCCAGTGCGAAATTCGCCCCGACGGGTTGTCGGTCGTACCCCAACCACATTTCACACCACTATGAACAATAAATGCACACACTGAAATCGCTATTACCGATAGGCTCATCCAATCAAGTTTCGATAAACCCGTTAATCATCATCTCCTGCGGTTTCGAACACGCCTGTTAGGTGGTGCGGTAGACCGCGCCCAAAGCCAGGGCCCCGGTAACGTGAGGTAGCCGAGTCGGGGCAGCGTGCGCTGACCCAAGCCGGGGCCGCGCGTCCTCCCGGTGTCATGTGATAGCCCGGGGCTGCCCGCGGGGATGCGGTAGACCGCGCCCAAAGCTGCGGCCCCGGCTTGGGTCAGCGCACGCTGCCCCGACTCGGCTACCTCACGTTACCGGGGCCCTGGCTTTGGGCGCGGCTTCTGCTCATACTTTGTGGTGCGGTGGTGGTGCGTCGGGCCGCGCGCTCTTACTTCGGCCAAGAAAAATGCGTCAGCTGATCATTGTCATTTCTGCCACTTGCGTGTGGTGAAATGGGGTCATAACTTAAGAGACGGCTTTTTCATATCAATTATTTTACATAAAATCATATTTCAAACCATAAATAATGTTCGACAGCCAAATAAAAGAAACAATACCAATACAGGCTTACAGTTTAAGGCTCGACGTTGTGTTGTCTACGATTAGACAGCTGATAACTCATTCCCGTACGTCGTAACTCTATAATGACCTTTGCTTATTGTCACATGTGCGCCGCATTCGCGATTGTTGCCGACGCCTGTTTGCAGGTTAGCCCACTACAGTTGTTATACATATCGAAAAACCGATAAACTTTTAGGCGAAAAAGGCACTATTCCAGGCCCATTTTTTGATTTTTTTTTGCGATATTAGGTAAAAACAGAAGCTTCTTATCCTAGGAAAAATAAAATGGGAAATCTTTCAAAGGTGGCACACTACCTTTAAACGCTCGTCAAACGGATATACGCACGCTTGCAAGGCTATAAATATAAGCCTCTCAAAAGTGTTGCGGGCAGTCATTCTCAGATTCTCTTTTTACAAAAGATTCTCCTCGTATTTGGTGCAGACTTTTAATCACTTATTCTACAACTGAGGAGCTTATTTTTAGGGTACGACTGCTGTGACGAGTGCACAAACCGGGTACGTTCTTCCGGCTGACGCCGTGGTTCTCCCGTTCCATTTCAGACATCAGCCAGGAGATGGCGGCCAACTCCAACGACATCGTCAGCACCCTGCAGGCGGTCGGCATCGTCAAGTACTGGAAGAACAAACACATCATCCTCAAGAGACAGGTAGGCCCCGGCGCGCCCCTGGGCGAGGGGTTGGCGGGAGTCGGGCCGTTCGTGACGCGTGCTACGGTGTGTCGATGTTGGTTTGCTCTGTCCGATCCCCTGTATATACATAAATCAGTGTCTGGTGAGCTCTGATCGTGTCTAGTGTCGTCTCTCCGATTGGAGTTGGACGCTCGGCAGTCTAATGGTGTTACCGTTTGACGTCAGACGACCGGCACCCGCCGGATGGGCCGCCACGTTATTATTCAAATGTAGTACGTCGCATACTTATGCCCGCCATTGAATCAGCAAGGATGTTCTGAGTTCTGGGAGAAGGTCCTTCACCGTCATTGTTACATGAATCACACGCCCGTTTCTCTGCGCCAGCCGGCTGCACGTCTATCGCCATTCTCTTTGTGCTTTCTCCCTGCTGCTGTGTTGCTGGAACCATTCGAGATGGCTGGATGGCTCAGCACGTCAGGGCCGTGATCATTCGGACCGGGTGGCGGCTCGACCACCCAGAGCGAGGGAAATCGGCGCTGAACCGAACCAGCTGCAACAACCCGCCGGCTGGTGTCGGCGAGTTTCTCAGCTGGTGTGGGTGTTTCTCGGTTGGTGTGGCATATTTCTTGGTTTTCAAGGGTCCTGTTCTGCCGACCGACGTCTGGTCAGGTGTGTAAGCACTGAGTCACTGCTGATCCACGGGGAGCGGCCTTTGCCTTCGCTCGTCGCTCTCACAGAATGAGCTTGCATTCAGCGTCGGCTTCACCCTCGTCACAAAACATTTTGAATCACTGAATCGCTGAAGGGCGGGAGAACTGAGAAGGGGAGGAGGAAAGTCAGGAATGGACGTCATCCTCTCTGCCCAGGAATCTCGTCATCTTGCGCCCCTCCCCGTGCGGTCGGCTCTCCCGCCGCCGCCGCCGCCTCGTCCGTCACCCTGGTCCCGCCGCCACGTGCCACGTGGTCGGGGCGTGGTTTTCCCGGCAGCCGCCGCCGCCGCCGCCGCCGCCGCTTCCCGCTGCGGCAGCGACTGGCTGGCCGTCTCGGCTGCTGTCTGCGGCACCGTCACCGGAAACCGACCACTTCCGGTCGGCGTGACGGCGCCGGGCGTGACGTGATGGACGGACGTGGCGCCGTGACGTGATGGACGGATAAAGACCGGGCGGAGCGGGACCGGCGTGACGGCCGGGTGTGACAGATCAGCTGCAGTGGAATGTGGGGTGGACCGGGGGGATGTGGACGGTGTGGAGCCTGGTGGATCAGCTGGCGGGGTGTGGGGATAGGCCGGACGGTAATGAGGGGTGAACGGGGTGGGGTGGCTGAGAGTCAGCTGATCCCAGTCAGCGTGCTGGTGGGTAGAATTCACATGGGTTTTGGTGACCGCCTGAGCTCTGTGTATGCATCTCCTTCATACCCTGCTGCTGTTCAGCCGCTGAACGCTCATCATCTAACGAGTGTATGGGACGAGGCTGGCTATTGCATGACGCCATCGAGAAATGCATTAGCTTCAGTCTTAAACCTTTTCCTTACAATATTGGACTCGTATGCCCAGTCCACGATGACGACCGCTGCGCATTTTCACTCATTCTTTTCATCTAGCCTGGTGCCACTATGCTTACTGTGCGAACAGCCGTCCGCCCGGCTTATGTAACTCGCTCTAGAGTGATGCTTATGTAACGAACGTACTGTTCTAGTGGCTAGGACTGGCATCCCGCTCAACAGCTGAGAGGCCACTGGTCTCCCGACTGCCTCTCTCAGCTAGCGCCGGAGAGACGAGTGCAGTGGGCTGGAGCCGGGAGACTGTGCCGGTCGGCAGCGGTTGGTCCGGCCCGCGACTGTCGGACCGAGGTCGCTCGATTTCTGGACTGATCCATGCTCCCACCGATCGAGTACTGTGCCCTGTGTCAGCAAATTTACCATCATCTTCGCCATGCTACCGGCCTCACCAGTGGCAGTGCGCAGTCATCTTATGGTGGCAGTGTTTCCTCTTAAAAAAATTATGTCTCTACTCTTAAAAAAAAAAAATCCTAGGACAACCCAGGCCGTGTCCTTACTTTCCTTATGACTGACCAGTGACCACCTACTCTTTCGACTATAATTGTTAATGTCGTTGCTTAGCTGGGACAGTTTTCACTCTCCTCAACCTGATGTTTCTATGTAGTCAACAAAGGTCTTGCGTCTCAACTGCCCTATCACTTCTCGAATTTAGCCGGAGAGCAGACAGTCTGTAACTTTCTCTTATAGTCTGGCGTCTCGACTACCAGCCCCATATCTTCAGTCTGTCATGGCCTCAGGGCCGCCCATGCCTCGTAGCCCCCCCCCCCCCCCCGCTGTCTGTATCCGGGTGCCCCCCCCCCCCTGGCGGGGAGGCGGTCGGTCGCTGGGTGCCCTTTGACCTGGCCCGCGGCGGCCACTTGACTGTCGGAGCTGGGGCTGTCGCGGCTGCCGACTGCAGCTCCGGTTCCGTTGGCTATCGCTGCGAACAGCCCTTCAGACGACGGTCTCAGAACCAGAGGGCACGACCAGCCCTTCAGTCTCAAGAGGCCGGGACTCGGGAAGCTCAGTCCGCCCTTCAGTCTCTGAGGTCGAGGGGCATAGCCTAAACTCGTCAGTCACATATGACATAGGCCAGGAGGTTCAGTCATCCCTTCAGAGGTCAGGGGGACTAAAGCTATCTATCCCTTCAGTGGCAGGGGCGAAGGAGGCACTACCAGCCCTTCAGTCAGAGCTGACCACTGACCAGTGTCTGAGGTCGCCGACTCGCCCAGCCGTGTCTAGAGGCTGAGAGCTGGTCGGGAGATTCTGAATTGGCGTGGCGCGATCTGCTGCAGTACTGCTGCCAACATCATACAGGATCATGGTGGCGTGGATCGTCCAATGACTGCTTCCGGGGGTTCATAGATTTTGACCACCGGTCCTTTGCGTGCCCTTGTGTCATTTCACAATGTCGAGGGCCGGAAAGCATGCAAGCGGGCTGCGATTACGTATTGAGCTAAAGATCGAAGTCATTCAGGCTAGACGTTATATAACGGGTCCGTCCAGCCTCGCCAAATTCCGGACAGCGGTTTGTGTACCTTTGGGAATGGTGAGCCCGCTGCTTCGTTATGAGTTCCGCGACCTAGTCAGGCCGTCACCTTTGGTCTTTACTGTGGTATTTCCTTATTGCTTCTGTTCTGGGTACCTCATAAATACCGACATGAAAAGCAGTTTGTGGCCTCTCCATGCCATCAAGTGACCCTGTTGGCCAGATCTCATTCTCTTACGGTAAAATCAACTCAGATATGTTTCCTCGCAGTGTATGACTCAGACCGGTAACTAGCAGCCCCGTGGACGGATGATGTTACTTAGCGGGACGGTGACCGGCGCCCGCATGTCGGGCACCGACTCAGGTGGGGCGCGCCTGTCGGGGAGTCCCCGATCCGGGGGATCCCGGCCCGGCGTCCTGCACTAGTCACTGAATAGTGTCACACGGCTGTCGGGACACGGCGGCATCGTGACGCCGACAGGACACCTGTGTCGGGCGGCGTGACGCGAGTCAACTCAGTTTTATTAACGATCATGGGCGACCCACCGCCACTATGTGAGCGTCATGGGCAGACCAGCGCGCTAATATCGCTGGTAGAACATAGATCGGATGGCACCGACAGAACAGAATCCTTCGGACATCACTGACACTAGACAGGACACCGTTGACAGTGACGTCACTGGCAGAACGCCAACGGACATCTTATGACAAAACGGCGCCCGGGTGTGACAGTGGCTTTCTTTAGTGGCTTATCGTCCAAGACGTTTCGTTTTATTGTATCGTTGTGTTCCAAGTTTGAATATTTTTTCTTCAAAATCGTCCTCTATTTCTTTTTGTGAATATTTTTCTTTGGTTTTTTCGAAAATCACATTGCTCGATCTTCACAGACATGGAGATTGGAGATTCTGTTCAGCCAGGTCGCAATGTCGAGTGTGACCTCTATCTTAACGTATGTATGATGCCACCAAACTAGTTTATTTATTGACATTTGACAGACTTGTGAACAAATGTCAGATGACACCAGCATTCTTCTCATGGTTGATGATGGTCGGATGCAGTCAAATTAGTGGTGTCAATCGGTTACCAAAATTTCGGTATACCGATACCGAACCAATACCGATTCGGTATTCGGTATTATATACCAAAAGCATTTGGTATTTTGTCGGTATCATGAAAATCAACTACTGTCATAAAATATTTGAAAGCATTTTTGATAAACCTTCTGAACTCAAATTTGATTTTGCTAAATGACACTGGATGAAGAAAATGGCAATCATGACACATTTCTCCCAAATGCATGATGTCCTAACAAATGGGCAAAGACATCAACTGTAATATCAAATACATCAGTCTACCAATGCAAATGTTAAATGGCAACTTATCAGTGTTAGCAAATTCCAATACCATGAGGATAATTATCCTACAAAGAAGCCAATGTGCAAGACATAAACATGAATTAATGTTTAACTCACTGTATGCTGGAAAACATCCTTAAACTACCTTTCTCAAAATATCCAAAGCATTTATTAGCAACAAATTTGACTTTGTTTTGAGGAGTCTGTGATTGATCTTGACCTTGTCTTCCTCTCCATTTTACTGCAATGCAATTACATTATCCAAACCCTGTTTAATACAGCACTAGCTTCACCATTATCATCTAATATTTAAGGCAGCATCTGTCACTTCATCATCACCCGCATCACCCCACAAATCTTCAACTTCGCTCAACTTCAAAAAGCCGTGTAGTGAGCGATGCTGTCATGATCCTGTGGATCATAGATATACAGACTAGATAGGACACGCCCATTGGCTCCCCATACTAGCGAACATGTAGGTCAGGCGGCCATGTTGGGGCAGCCGTCTACATAGACTCGCATTTGCTACAGCACGTAAAGTGAATGGGGGTGGAGCGGTTTCGAGCCCGTTTTCCAAACCGATTTTTGAGTTATTGGGAGGCTGCAGATGGCCAGTATGGTTATGAAATGATTAGTTA